TCCCCATTGTCAACGTTTCCACAGCAATAGTTATCTCGCAAAGGGCAATATCTTGCCGGAGAATTTGTTTTCTCTTGCTGATAATTTTTCTCCATAAACATTTTTGAGAGAGATGAATAGGTGTACCTTTCTGGAACAGCAGGCAGATACTGGGGTGTGAAATGACTCCGAGAGGCATGTTTTATGGATGAGGGAGGGGAGGGTCCTGAGGACTGCCTTTTGTTTCCCCAGCCTCTGAGCTGGTTGTGGATTGCCAGGTTCCTCTTCTGCAGGTGGCAGTAGTCCTCTTCTGCATGTGGCGGTCCTCTTCACTCACTGCTGCTCACCTGAAGCTTTAAAGGCCCAGTGTGGGTGGAAGCTACAGAGAGAGGCTACCAAACAGTTGGCACAAAATGCCACCAGCCTGTAACATTCTGGGCCCACCATGGAGACCTCAGTCTCCTCAGTGCATTTCCCAGCCAAGGCTACGGTTTTCAGATACTCCATTATGCTGATATTTTAAAAATTTTCCTCTCTCTCTTTCACTGTCTAACAGCAAAGAAGGGAATGAATTCTTTTCCATCATAGTTCTAATGAATCTCAAAGGAAAAAAAAAGAGATGTGATCTCAGAAAAATAAAGAAGCTAACATAAAAACGGCAGGCCCAGTGACCTTCAACAAAATGAACAAATATGGGATTTTTCCATCATCTCTGTCTTGGACATGGGGAGCATGATTGTTAATAACAAAGTGGCACCAAATGATTCACCAACAGTTCATCAGGGTCCCTCTGGAGCCTGGAGTCAACAATGCCAGTGACTCAGGAAGGTAGCAAACCACACATGGGTGAGGTGGGGACACAGCTCAGGCCCAGGGCACAGGCTTCAAAAGGGCTCATTTTCTCCCCAGGGTAGGGATGCCAGATTCAGCAAAAATAATATAGGGCGCCCAGTTGTATTTGAATTTCAGTTAACAGATAATTTTTTAGTATATTTGAGGCATCCTTGTACTAAAAATTTATATATTTATCTGAAATTCAAATTTAACTGAGAGTCCTGCATTTTCTCTGGCAACCCGACCCCAGGGACACAGCACTTCTTTTCATTTCCCGAGTACTTACATATTTCTAGGTTCAAGCTCCACCTGGAAGAGGCTGTCTCCAGTCTCAGCTTCTTGAATCTTATACTATCATTACAATGTCCAGCACAAATGCCTGACTTCTGTGAAGACGTCTCCCCTAAATCAGCTTCTCCTTTCTCTCTGTCCTCTTGCCCCAGAGCATTTTTGTTTGTTTGTTTGTTTTTAACATCTTTATTGGCGTATAATTGCTTTACAATGTTGTGTTAGTTTCTGCTGTATAACCATATTCCCTCCCTCTTGCGTCTCCCTCCCACCTTCCCTATCCCACCCCCTAATAGCACTTTATTGCCCATTTTGGTTTATATCTAGTTGCTTATAAGGCTGTTTCCCCTACTAGACTGTGAACAACTCAGGGGCACTTTATCTAGATTCTTTTTCTCATGGCCCCAGTGTTGTTTTGCCTGTGCCTGATATGTGGTAGGTACTATGAATGTTTGATGAATGAATGATCATACCTAACATACTTTGAGTGCATACTTTGAGTTCCTAACATACTTTTGTGCCAGGCATGGGTCTCAGCACTTTACATGGATTTAAGTCTTTAGTCTTTGAATAGTACTCTGAGATAGGCACTATTTTTTTTTTTTTTTTTTTTGCTGTATGTGGGCCTCTCACTGTTGTGGCCTCTCCCACTGCGGAGCACAGGCTCCGGACGTGCGGGCTCAGCAGCCATGGCTCACGGGCCCAGCCGCTCCGCGGCATGTGGGATCCTCCTGGACCGGGGCATGAACCCGTGTCCCCTGCATCGGCAGGCAGACTCCCAACCACTGCGCCACCAGGGAAGCCCGATAGGCACTATTTTTATTTTCATTTTAGAGATGGAGAAGTGGAGGCACAGAGAAGCTAAGTAACTTGCTCATGGTCACACAGCTAGAAAGGGGCAAAGCTGGGATTTGAACCCAGGCAGTATGGCTCCAGAGTCTGTGCTCTTAACCTCTGTGATATATTGAATGATTGGCTGCACAGAAGAATGAGTGGAAGAGCAAATGAAGGAGTGCATGAACAAAGGCAGGAAATAGGTATTAAAATCAGGAAGACACAAGAGGTGGGGGTCAAGGTAGGTGAGGGAGAGCAGAAGCTGGAGGAGTCAGGGAGATATCACAAAGCTGTGAATGAACCTCAGGGAATCAGTGACTTGCACACAAAAGGCAGCTCAGCTGTGGAAGGGGCTGATTTCTTCTGATTTCTGCTTTGGAAAGTAATTCTCGTGTCCCAAACCTTTCACATCTCTGCAGGGACCTGACCGTTACTCTCTTCCAGCCACAGAGCCCTCTTCTTCCCAGAGCAGAAGCTACCCTCTCCTCTCTTAAGAGGCTCAGACCAGTGAAGCTCTGAGGCCAATCCTGTCTCCTTCCCACCCCCACCAGGGGCTCTCAGCTGGGAGTCAACAAGCTTGGTGCCAGGGCCCTCTTTATTCTTGGGCTCCAGTCCCTCGGTGTCTGGTGCACCTACGCCTGGCTCTTGCCATGGGTGTGCATGTATGTTACACAAAGGAACCAATGTGATCCAATGAGAGCACTACCAAGGCTATTATAGTAATGTAATAACCCTTCCTCTTCAAGTCTATGGAAACATTAGATAGTAACCTGCTCGCGCCTTCGATCTAGTCTTTCTGTTTTTAATTGTGGTAAAAACACATCTTACCATCTTAACCATTTTTAAGTGCACAGTTCAGTAGTGTTAAATACATTCACATTGTTATGAAACAAATCTTCAGAACTTTTTCATCTTGTAAAACTGAAACTCTATACCCGTTAAACAACTCCCTTTCCTCCTCTCCCCCCAGCCCTTGGTAACTACCATTCTATTTCTATGTCTATAAATTTTACTTCTCTAGATACCTCTTATAAGCGGAATCATGCAGTATTTGTCTTTTTGTAATTGGCTTATTTCACTTAGTAGAATGTCCTTAAGGTTCATCCATGTTGTAGCATGTGTCAGAATTTCCTTCTTTTTTAAGGCTGAAGAATATCCCACCGTATATATAAACCACATTTTGTTTATCCATTTATCCGTTGATAGGCATTTAAGTTGCTTCCATATCTTGGCTTTCGTGAATAATAATGAATAATGGGTATACAAATACTTTTTCAAGTCCCTGCTTTCAATTCTTTTGGATATATATCCAGAATTCGGATTGCTAGATCATAACGTAGTTCTATTTTTAATTTTTTGAGGAACCTCTATCCTGTTTTCCATAGCTGTTGCACCATTTTACAATCCCAGCAATAGTGCACAAGGGTTCCAGTTTCTCCACATCTTCGTCAACACTTGTTATTTTCTGTTTTGTTTTTGTTTTTTCATTTTTATTTTTTTTGGCGGTACGCGGGCCTCTCACTGCTGTGGCCTCTCCCGTTGTGGAGCACAGGCTCCGGACGCACAGGCTCAGCGGCCATGGCTCACGGGCCCAGCCGCCCTGCGGCACGTGGGATCCTCCCGGACTGGGGCACGAACCCGTGTCCCCTGCATCGGCAGGCGGACTCTCAACCACTGCGCCACCAGGGAAGCCCCTGTTTTCGTTTTTTGACAGTAGCCATCCTAATGTGTATGAGGTTGTCTGGAACCTAGTCTTCATCAGGAGGCTGTGTTTCTGGAATGGCTTAGGATGCCTGTAATTATTCATTGGCATTGAGCAATGGGGAAAGCATAGCACTGAGCTCTGGGCAGACAACCTGATAACCAACAGGCAGAGTGTATTCTAATTTTGCCAAAGATTTTGTGACTCTGGGCAAGTTGTGCAACCTCTGAATTTCCATCTGCCCACTGGGGACAAGTCTTTCTTGATGACATAGCCTCCTCCCTCCTCTGCCCTGATGTTTCCCCCAGGAAAAGACAGGCAGTGAGAGATGGGAAATGACTCGTTAGATAAGCACCTTCCTCACAGCCGTCATCACCCTGAGTGTGTTTTTTCCTTTCTTTTTATTATAAAAACAAGTCATGCTTAGTTTTTAAAAATGAGAAAGCTCAGAAAAACTTTAGAAGCAAGGAAGTATTTATCCGTCACGCTGAGGCAACCCTGATAATATTTCATTCTGTTTCTTGTAGTTTTTTTCCCTAAATGAGGCAAACTTCTTTAATCCTTGAGTCCCTCTTTTCCTAGGGAAGAGCATCTCATTTTCACAGCAATCAGTAACAAAGTTAACTGAGCTCTCAATTTCTTAAATATATCTTTCTTTGTGCTATTTCACTTCTTAAATGTGTCACTTTGAGTGAAAGGCAATTAATTACAGTGGAAATGCTGCTTGGAGATGTCTTATGAAATTATGTTAATATGTATAGAGAGAGAGAAAGGAAGGGGAAAGGGAGGTGATGGGCAAAACAACTGGTCTATTTAAACGGATAATTTCCTTCCCTTTCAAGTTTCAGAGTTGAGGGTCTCTATGAAAGGACGAGAAAGCTATTCTTTTTTTTTTTTTTTAAGAATTTATTATTTATTTATTGGCTGTTTTTGGGTCTTTGTTGCTGCACGTGGGCTTTTCTCTAGTTGCGGCGAGTGGGGACTACTCTTTGTTGCGGTGCATGGGCTTTAAATTGCGGTGGCTTCTCTTATTGCGGAGCATGGGCTCTAGGCGCAGGGGCTTCAGTAGTTGTGGCTCGTGGGCTCTAGAGTGCAGGCTCAGTAGTTGTGGCACACAGGCCTAGTTGCTCTATGGCATGTGGAACCTTCCCGGACCAGGGCTCGAACCCGTGTCCCCTGCATTGGCAGGCGAACTCCCAACCAGTGCGCCACCAGGGAAGCCCAAGAAAGCTATTCTTGTAGTTCCAATTTGTCAAAATCAGTAAAACTCATCTGAAAAGCAAAGTTGATCAACCAGTAAAAAGGCAACAAAAGAAGACTTTGGTAAATTGTCATGTAAAAAAACCTTTTTTTTTTTTTAAAGAGCACTGCTGTATCAGTTCAGGAAAAAATCTAAATGATAATCTGAAGATTACAAAAAAGGTGGAGCATGGGAGAGCACGGAAGGTAAGGCACTTTCTCAGGAATGTTTGACGTCAGAAAATGATGTTTGGCGATCTTCTGGGCTGGTGTTGTCTAAAGGAATTGGACTTTGGGACTGCAGGAGACCCGGAAGTTTTTGTCTTTATAGCCCTGCCTGGCTGGGACCCCTGAGGATGGCTGACCTGGCCCCTAGGCTGGTGGAATGATGCATGAGAGGTGTTTAGCACCTGGCACAGAGGAAGTACTCAAGAACTGTTTGGTATAATTGCTGTTATCTGGGGTGGAGGAGGGAGTGGGCTTTGGGGTCGTCTTGGCAGTGTGGTGGAGGAGAGAAAGAGTCATACTTGGAAGGGAGGCAATGGTGAGGAGCGAACTGGTCCCTTATCTTCTTTCCAATTCCTCTTTAATCCAGGCTTCCAGGCTTCCAGGCCCTCGTTGGGAAAGGCATGTGTGTTTATGTGCGTGTGGTTGGTGTGTGTGTGTGTTTGTGTGTGTTGGGCATATGATGAGGAAGCTTCCAGGAAGGGGAAGAGTCAACTACTATTTATTAAGCTATATACCAGACACCATTCTGAGAGCTAAAACAAAAAACCCAAAAACACCAGTCTTGCAAGAGAGGTTAGGTAACTTGACTACACATTTGGAGGCTTATCTGTCTGACCCTAAAGCTTAAGCAGAGACATTCCCTCCATTTTCTGTGGACCATTAGAGAGATTTCCTTCATCAAGTTTCAGGAGTTCACGTCTAACCTTGCCTCAGGTGAGGTTGCAAGAGGCAGAGGTTCTCCCATTTGGGGAAAAAATCAGAGGCTCTCCAGTTTGGGATAGGAGGTTTTCTGCCAGTGACAAGGAACCCCACCATCACTGGCTCCCGTTCAGCTCTGAGGGCCTCTCCTCAAAGGGGCTGAGAGGGGCGTCCTGAGTGCTGGTGTGGGCTTGCCAGAAACCTTCTCCTGGGCCACGTGGGAAGCCAGGTAGCCCATGGTCCCTGCCTGGTCTGATGCAAGCCCTGGGTAGAAGGGAAGCAAGCTCCAGCCTGCAGGCCAGCCCTGGCACACAGTGGGGCAGTGGGCAGACTGCCATCCTTGGCACCACTGGAGCCAAATTTCTTGCCAGACGGCTTGAGTTTCAACATATTGGGAGAGCACAGGAGCCTGGGAGCATAACTTTGCTGTCGACTCTGATGCTCGGCCCAAGAAGACCCTAGAGAGTCAGACAGCACAGAAGGTGGAAGGGATGGCATGGGCACTGGGCTCCCGGAGACCCATCCACACCCGGGGACTCGGCCGTGACAGGGGCATGTCACAAGCCACCCCAGGATGGAGGTGGGCTTACCTTACCTGTTCTACCTGTGAGATCTTAGAATTTAGACTAGGAATGTTTTTAGAAATGATCTAGTCTACAGTGATCTCCCATTCTTGTTTAGCCTGAATCAGGAAAGGAGGGGAACTATAATTAATAGATCCTGTTTAAGAAAGCAAGGCATTTTACAGTGTGCTTTGGAAAGGTTTACATTCAAAATGATTGTAGTTCTTAATTTATATCCAAAGTAATTATACTTTTTAACATTGGGGCCAAGGGAAAGCATCAGTTATCAGTAAATTTCATTTAAGTGGAATGGAGAGTATCAGATTTTGCTAGGTAATGATAAGAGTCACTTTTAATGAATGTTTACCATATCTCAGGCCCTATTTTAAGTGCTTTACTTGCATTAACTCCTTTGATCCAAGAAACAACCCTATGCAATGGTATACATATTATTCTTGTTTTACAAAGGAGGATACTGAAACACAGAGGGATTTAGTAACTGATCCAGGGTCACACAGTTCATAAGTGGCAAGCTTGGATTTGAACTCGAGGAGTCTGGCTTCTGAGCCTATGTTCTTAAAGCACTGTTCTAAGGTGTCCCAGATAATGAGGACTTGCTTTCTTTGGATATTTTACTAAGTGATCCTTCATGTAAGGTATTCCTGGGAACCGTCACAGCAACAGTTTGGGGATCAGCCAGAACAAACTGGGAAGACTGGAAGCTTGACATCTTAACCCCTCCCCTTCCATGCAATATTACAAATGAGAAAATGGAAGTCCAGGGATGTATTAGTGACCTATCTAAGGTTATAGCATGAAATCTAACTGGAAGTCAGAACTTAACATCCAAGCTGGGCTTTTCCCAATATATATCATTCTTTGTTCTTTTATTTTTTTTGGCTGCGCAGCATGCAGGGATCTTAGTTCCCTGACCAGGGATTGAACCCGAGCCCCCTGCAGTGGAAGCGTGGAGTTGTAACCACTGGACCGCTAGGGAAGTCCCTATGATTCTTTGTTCTTAAGATCTCTATGACAGATTCTTAAGAGTTCTGAATTCTGCTCCTGACCCCCATCCTTTCTCTTCTCTCTCTGTTTCACAGCCCAAATTCTTGTCGACTGGAAAGTGCTTGCACTTTCCTCTCTGGTACACATAATCCCTGGTTCTGATTCCATCACAAACACTCCCCATGCCTGTCCTGCCTGCTTTGCAGGGGCTGGGCCTGGAGGAAGAGCACAGGATCTGTTTTGTTCTTAGAGTCAGGATCGGAGCAGAGGGGCCAGGAAAGGAACTTTAAGCCATAAGGTCCAGACCACATGATTGGGGTGATGGAAACCAGGGCCCAGAGACAGCCAGAGTCATGGGGGGCCACACCCATCACACCATCAGCTCCTCCCTGAGCTATTTTCAAATGGCCAACAATACTGAGATGTCATTGACTAAAAAGTACTATAAGAAACAAAGACTTGGGACTTCCCTGGTGGCACAGTGGTTAAGAATCCATCTGCCAATGCAGGGGACATGGGTTCGATCCCTGGTGCAGGAGGATCCCACATGCCGTGGAGCAGCTAAGCCCGTGCACCACAACTACTGAGCCTGCGCTCTAGAGCCCATGAGACACAAATACTGAAGCCTGAGCACCCTAGGGCCTGTGTGCCGCAACTACTGAGCCTGCATGCTGCACCTACTGAAGGCTGTGTGCCTAGAGCCCATGCTCCACAACAAGAGAAGCCACCGTAATGAGAAGCCCACGCACTGCAACAAAGAGTAGCCCCTGCTCACCGCAACTAGAGAAAGCCCGCGCGCAGCAGCAAAGACCCAACACAGCCAAAAATAAACAAACAAATAAAGAAATATTTGAGTGTCATGGCTAGATGCTGGAAATACTGAAAGAGCTCTGGACTAGTTATCAGGAGGCCTGGCTTCCAGGCTTGGCTCTTCCACTAACCAGCGGTGTGACCTTGGGCAGACTGACATGCCTCTCTGGGCTTCTTGTTTCTCACGTGTTGCTTGCCCATCCTCACAGGGTTTCTGTGAAGCTAAAACAAGAGAACAACTGTGCTTTACAAATGACAATCAGTGTAAAGATGCAAGGGATTACTGTTGTTGCGCTGACCTCGATCCAAACAGGCCAGAGCTCCGGGTTCCCTGCCCTGGTGATAAATAATGGCATGAAAGACTTTATTCACGCTCATCTACCATATCAGGACTCATTCCCTGGAAGGGATTTGGGGAGTGGGAAAACAGAGCCTGTCCTCGGGTTGCTTCCAACTCCACGTGCTAGCTCTTTGGAGTATTGTGCCAGGAGTCGGGAGCTTGGGCTCTGGACCCCACCCTACTGTAAACAAGCTGTGTGCCCCACGAGACTCTTCACCTCCCTGTGCCTTGGCTGGCTCTAAAACTCTGATGCCACATCATCAGCTTGAATGCAGGGAGTTGGATCAGCTCTGGGATCTGGGGATGGAGGGAAGTGGAAAAATATGCCTACTAATTGCCAGGTCCTCTCCACATCATCTGTGTCCTTTCGTTCATTCAGCCCTGATTGTGCCAAGCTGTGTGCCAGAGGCTGGGACCAGCTGTAATCGTCAAGACAGACCTGGCTTTCTGGGGATTCTGGTGAAGCAGGAGAGACAAGCATAAAGCAAATGTTCACACAAATATAGAATGAAAACTGTGGGAAAGGATAGGAAGGGACATGACTATTGGGAGGACCATACCAGCCTATTGTGGAGTTGAACTTGACAGATAACAAGAAGATGGCCGGCTTTCTGGGGACAAAGGGAACATGCCAAGGGAATAAGTGTAAAGGCCCTTAGGTTGAAAGGAGCATGTCATGGGCCAGAGATGGAGGGAGACAGCGAGTACGACCAAGGAGTTGTGAGCATGGGGCGGACCGTTGCTTGCGTGGTTGCGCAGCGGCTGGGCACGTGCAGGCTCAGTGGCCATGGCTCACGGGCCCAGGCGCTCCGCGGCATGTGGGATCCTGCCGGACCGGGGCACGAACCTGTGTCCCCTGCATCGGCAGGCGGACTCCCAACCACTGCGCCACCAGGGAAGCCCCGGCCAAGCCCTTTCTTACAGGCCATGGTCAGAAGCAGAGGTCTTGATCCGATCTTGGAATATGAGCTCCACTGATCTAGGTTTTCAGGATACAATTAGAATTTCTTGTTCTCTGGACAACCTGACTGATCACAGTCAACAAATTCAATAAACATTCACTGTCCTCTGCCCTAGAAAAACAGGACAAAAACAAAGACTTTGTCCCTGTCCCTCGGGTTGCCTCCTCTCTCTGGGGAGAGGGCAGCAGGTGGGCACTTTATTAAATAACTGTAAAGCAAGAGAGACCGAGATGAATGCCACAAAAGAGGTGCAAGGGCTAAGGTTCAATGACCAGAGATGACAGGCACAGAAACTTGTCACGTTAATGGCCACATCTTTGAAACGCTTGTCACACCCATTAGGAGGGTTTCCAGGAAAAAGTATAATTTCAGCTGAGCCTTGGAAAATGATAGGACTTTATTTTTAATATTTTTGTTCAAATTTAAAAATAATATACGCTCCTTAAAGAAAATTTGGGAAATGCACAAATGAGTGAAAAAGATAATTATAACCACGCTTAATCCGGAGAAACCACCATAAACATTTTAGTGAGTAACCGTCAAGGCTTCTTACCTACGTTTAACAACGTTGAAATCGTCGTGTAGATATAATTTGGCAGCAGTCTCTTTTTTTCATTTCATGTGTCGTCTTTTCCCATGTCATTAAATATTCTTCAAAAACATGATATGGAATGGCTGTTCAGTATTTGAGTCTTTGGATTTGTGTAACCACTTCACTATCATAGGATATTTTGGTAGTTTCCAAATTTGTTGCTACTATGAATAATGCTTGAGTGAGCATCCTCGTATGTGAAACCTGTGACAGCACCTGGTTATTCCCTTAGGCAGATCTTGAGGAATAGAATTCCTGGAGAAAAAGGGTGTGAACATTGCTCTGGCTTTGGAATCCTACGGACCATCACGCTCCCACCAGTAACACAGGCTCTCTCCGATCTCACTGCACACTTGCCAACAGTATTTTCTGATTTAAATCCTCACCATTTTGATGGGCGCGGGGAGGGGAGCAGTGCTCTCTTGTTGCTTAAGATGAGCCTGCCCTTAGCCAGCAGAAGAGGGGGTGGCCTGGGGAGGTGGGGAAAGACACAGAGAGAACAGTTTGAGGAAAGTCCTGGCAGGGCTCTTCTCCAAGCAGCTCTTTGGAAGTGTCTGGAATGTTTCAGAGAATCCTACAGAGGCTGCTTCACTGTAACTCCTCCTCTGCTGTCTGGGGCCCCTAAAATTAGGATACTTTCACCCAGAGGACGGGCGACCGCCTGAGACACTGTTTGCCCCAGGATGTACCCGGGAGGCAGCAACCCTTCTCCGCTTCGTCCACGCTGCTCCCCTACAGGACGGATTCCCCCCTCCACCAAATTTCTCCAGTGAGACAGGGAGTCTACTTTCAACCTCCATGAAAAGTAAAATATAGTAAGGTGGGAATTGGGAGTTAAAAATTCTTGAGAAATGCCTTCAAAAACAGGAATTTATATACTCCTGGAGGAGCATATATTGGTTCAACCCTTATGGAGAGCAAATTGGTAATCAAATTGTAAAGTATGAATACTCTTGAACTCAGTAATTTTAGTGTTAAGAATGTATCTGAGGAAATAAACAGATAAGAATGCAAAATCGTGTGCACAGGGATGTGTATAGAAGGAAGTACTGTTGGTATTCATGAAAACAGTATGAAAATCATCTAAGTGGGTATCTTCTCCATGCCTGTGAAACAGAGACATCTGCGTGAGAAATTTCGTGGAAGTCTGAGGTGAGGAGGGGGCTGATACTAGCTAAGAAAAAAGCTGGAGACGGTCTGGCAGGATCTTCCAATCAACGGCCAAGAGGAGCCCTTCCACTCAGCATGGCACCTTAACGCGGTAGTCACACAATGCGGGAAGGGCACCAGGCCGGCTCACTTCAGTGTGTCCACAAACAGGGAAAATAAGTCATTCTACCAGAAAGTGAGAGCTCTGTGGGGCAGCAGTGCCTCCTGGTGCCCCTCAAGCTGCTAACATGGCCAATAGGACAGAAGTTAGTTCATCTTGGCCTGAGACATTCCAATACAGAGTGGAATATCCCCTTATTAGACAAGTGTCATGACCCCAACCCCTACCATCATCATATGTCTTTCATGTGATTCAAAAAGATCCTGATCAGGGGACCAATTAGACTAAATGTCTTTCTTGGAAAGAGACATATTGCAAGGAATAGAAGAAAAAAAAATGTTTAATTCCAAACAACAACAAGCTTTGAGAGGACATCACTAATTCATTATAAAAAGCACGCAGTGAGTGACCACTGTGTGCTATGGTGAACAAAGCAGGCCAAGTCCCTGCCCTCATGGAGTTCATTTCTCGGGTGGGCACTAGATAACCAACAAGAAAGCAAATCACACGTGGTGGGTATGGATTGAGTCGAGTGCTGTGGAGTGGATGAACAGAGGAGGGGACTGTGAGCTGAGACCCAGTGATTGAGAGTGAGTAGCCCTGAAGGGAAGGGTGCTCCAGGCAGAGTGCATGAGTCCCGAGACACAACAGGGGCCGCTGTGGCTTCCACGCAGGGCAGGGAGACTGGTGTGGGCTGCAGGGGGAGGGGGGTCATGCAGAGTCTGATTCAATCTAAGAGCAATTGGGAACTCTTGAAGAGTTTTAAACAGCAGAACAGATGCAGTTTTGTTGCTGACACTTTCCTGTCGGGCCCCAACAAGGGTCTTCCTGCCTGGTGTCATTCGAGCCAACAGAAAGAGACAAAGTTCAGAAGCAAAGGTTTTTTTTAAATTAATTAATTTTTGGCTGCGTTGGGTCCTCGTTGCTGTGTGCGGGCTTTCTTTAGTTCCTCCGAGCTACTCTTGCGGTGCATGGGCCTCTCATTGTGGTGGCTTCTTTTGTTGCAGAGAACGAGCTCTAGGCCCGTGAGCCTCAGTAGTTGTGGCTCACGGGCTCTAGAGCGCAGGCTCAGTAGTTGTGGCGCACGGGCTTAGTTGCTCCGCGGCATGTGGGATCTTCCTGGACCAGGGTTCGAACCAGTGCCCTCTGCACTGGCGGGCGGATTTTTAACCACTGCGTCACCAGGGAAGCCCACAAAGTTTTATTCTTTGATCAAGCAATGAAGAGGTGCGAGCCTGCGCTCTAGAGTACACGCTTCTCCGACAGGCCATCTGGGGGGCTTTATCTGGATCGCGTCAGTCAGTCAGAGGAGTTCTCGCGAGACGGGAGCAGCTGTGCTTCTGTAGTGCCCGTGTGCAGTGTCTCGGCACACGACCCGCTGCCGCCACCATCTTTTAATTTTTGGATGTGGTAGGTCTTCGTTGCCCGCGGGCTTTCCTAGTTAAAGGGAGCGGGGGCTACTCTTCATTGAGCCGTGCAGGCTTCTTATTGCGGTGGCTTCTCTTGTGGAGCACAGGCTCCAGGTGTGAGGGCTTAAGTAGCTGTGGCTCGCGGGCTCTAGAGCGCAGGCTCAGTAGTTCTGGCACCCGGGCTGAGTTGCTCCGCGGAATGTGGGATCTTCCCCGACCAGGGCTCAGAACCCAGGTCCCCTGCATTGGCAGGCGGACTCTTAACTACTGCGCCACCTGCATTGGCCGGTAGATTGTTAACTACTGCGCTATTCTTAACTACTGAAGCCCCGCCATCTTGAATTGAGTGTGGAGCGCAGCTTCCGCACACGGCCCGGAGGTGTCGGCGGCGCACCCTTCCGTACTAGGAGCTGTGGTCTGAAGTGCGGGGCACGAGGCCTTTGCCAGCGGCCCCTCTGAGCAAGTCAAGCTAGACTAAGCACAGAGGAGAAAAAAAAAAAGGTTAGACTTTATTTTATTATCCAAATTCTATTTTTATGTTAAATAAAAATATCTCTGGCTTTACCAGAGATAATTTATGTGTTTTTGCTATTGTTGCTTTTTGGGTTTTGTTGTTTGTATTTTTAGTTTACTGGGTATTAAAAAAAAATTAAGATGTAATTGATATACCATAAAAATACACCCTTTAAAAGTATACAAGTCGGTCATTTTTATTATATCATGAGGTTGTGCAACCATCCCCGTTGTCTATTTCCAGCATATTTTCATCACCCTAAAAAGAAACCCCATGTCCATTCACATGACTCCCCATTTCCCACTCCTGTCACCCCTTAGCGACCACTAACCTACTTTTTGTCCCTATGAATTTACCTGTCTGAATATTTCAAAGAAATAGAATGATACACTATGTGGCCTTTCTGACTGGCTTCTTCCACTTACCATGTTTTCAAGTTCATCCATTTTGTAGCTTGTATCAGTACTTCATTCCTTTTTATGGCCAAATAATATTGCCGTGTGTGGATATACCACATTTCTCCTTTCTTCACTGGATGGACATTTGGGTCGTTTCCACACTTGGGCAATTATGAAGAATGCTGCTATGAGCATTCATGTGCAAGTCTTTGAATGAACATACGGTTTCTTGAGTAAATGTTCCCTGGATTGCTGCAAGCCTTTGGCTAATTTCCAAAGTTCAGAAAAAGTTGATTCTGACAATTTTTGCCAGTGTTTTCATTGCTTGTGCAGAGAGGATTTTTGGAAATCCTTACCCTGCCATTTTGCCAGTGTAACTCTGGATCACTTCATTTTAAACCCTATGTTAGTATTTGATGAATCAAAATGAATTGAATTTCAAAGGTAAGTGACCCTTAGGTTTGTCTTCTAGATGATTGCTGTGGTCAGCAACATCACCTGCCTCTGTTTTTTAATTTTATATTTTTCCAGTGGGCCAAATATTGAATGACATAAGGAGGCAGCTAAGCAAGTTAGACCTTTAATCAGCTTCTGGATAGGGCTTCAGGGCTGGGAACAGCTGAATTGTGTTTCTTGGAGAGATGGCCGGGTTCCCACAGTGCAAGCTGCTGGGATGGGGGGTGAGCACCCTTGGCCGGTAGGAGGAGGCTGGCTTGTGTCCCTGACTGGCTGTGGGAATGTCTTCCAAGCTTCGAACTCCCAGCTTTATGATTTATCATGAGCAGGGGTCCCCAGAAGCCACCAGGGTGCTCCACCCTGGGAAGGCCGTGTGTTAACAAGTTATGGGGACACTTGCTTGCACATGGGGACACTTTTGCACATCAGAACTTCTGTAGAATTTCCTGTTCAGATAGATTGGAGGTGTTGTCCGGCAGGAGAAGGATGTATAAGTTGACCTCTCAGAGTCTGTTGTTCCTGGGGGTGGGGTATGATCACCTGGGTATGATCACTTCTCCTGGTTGTCAGGAAAGCCCATGTGGAAGATGGAGGAGCTGAGGCCAGAGCAGGGCCAGGACCATCTCAGCTGCCCCTCTCCTGCTTCTAAGTCCTCCAAAAGGCTTGTCTGGAGCTCTTTGTGTTCCAGTTTCCAACTGGTTTGTCTTGTAGATGGCCCCATAGCAGGGTGGAGTTTATCCAGGATCAATATCAAGTCTTACTCTTGGAGCTAAAAATCCAATTGCAGAATTGGGGCTCAACAGACGTAAGTGAGAGAAGGGCTCAGGTGATGGAATTGATGGAGATGAGTAGGAAGTATGAGGGGCCATCTGCAAGGGCTGAGAGGCTCTCAGGATGCTCTAATGAAATAATGTCTAGAAGGAAGGATGTTAAATTTCTATACACTCTGGGCTGCACCAGACATTCCTGGGGTTTTGTGTCCTGGAGTATGTCTGGGGTGGAGAGGGCAGCCTGGAAACTGTATTGTGTTAGAACAAGTGAAGGATTAGGAGCTCTCTAGCTGAAGAAGGACAGATTCAAGGGACATTGCCTACAAATCTCGAATGGGCTGTCCTGAGGCTGAGAAAGCCTGTCTGTGAGGCTGCCAAGGGATGAGTTGGGCCCAGTGCGGGGGAGCTTCAGGGAGGTAGCCTTCAGCTCAGCATCGGAAAGACCTCTATAACAGGCTGAGTGTCCACACAGGCAAGCATGGGCCCATGTCTATAGGTAGTGATCCCCCAGTCAGCCCCAAGGGGCCAGATCAGGAAAATTCTAATGTGTCTTGCACAACATCTGAAATAATTTTATCTTAAAAACGTGTTGAAGCTGGCCAGGTCATCATGTCTTCGGATCTAGCCCTCCTACATTCTAGGTCTCTGAAGGGATGGCCCTGCCCACCCCATCTAGCATAAACCAGAAACCAGGCATTCTACTAGACTCCTCCCCTTCTCCCACTCATGTCAATCAATTAATCAATCAATCACCAGGTCCTGACCGAGACAACCTCAGGATATGTCTTGCATCTGGCCCCCTTTCTCCATCCCATTGCTGTTGTCTTAACTCAGATTTTCATTGTTTCTTGTCTTGGCCTTTGTTACAGATTCATGTCTGTTCAGCGGCAGTCTTAACTGATAGTCCTTAAATGCAGACTGATCATTTTAGCACCTTGTTTGAAATATTTGCCATCTCTCCATACTCTCAGGATAAAGCATAAACACCATAACATGATATTCAACCCACCTCTCTGGGCTCACTGTTCTCTCAGGTGCTTCATGCTCCAGCGACATGTCACAGCCACCCGAGCTTTGTTTATGCTGGTCTTTTTGTCTAAAGTTCTCTTTCCTGGCTTTTTTGTTGTTGTTGTTTGTTTGTTTTTAAGGTTTACAGAAAAATTGATCAGAAAGTACAGCATTCCCACACACAGCACCTCCTCCAGTTTCCCCTATTATTTACATCTTGTGTTAATGTAATATGTTTCCTACAACTGATGAACCAATGTTGACACATTATTATTAAGTCCATAGTTTACATTAGGGTTCACTCTTTGTGTTGTACATTTTGACAAATGCATGATGACACGTATCCACTATTAGTGTATCATACAGAAGGATTTCATTGCCCTAAAAAGCCCCTGCACGCCACCTGTGTATCCTTCCCTTTAATCCCTCACAACCATGTTTCCTGGCTTTTTATGTGTCAAAATCTATCCATCTTTTAGGGTCTTATGTAGATATTACCTCCTCCAGGAAACCTTCACTAATTCTTTCAACTGAAAATATTTACTCTCTTCTCTTAATAATCAATAGCATATATGGCACATCTTTTCTGTCCTGGATACTATACCAATCCTCTCTCTCTCTTCCATATACCAACTCTGCTGGGTAGATTTTAACTTCCAGATGAAGAAACAGAGGCTCATTTATTCAAATGACTCGCCTAAGGCCACACAACTAGCACGCATGAAGACTGAGATGTGAACCCAAGTCTGTTTGTGTCCAAACCTGCCAAGACCCCTTTTAAGTCCTTGACCCCATTCACTGTCTGCTTTCCCCGCTGGACTGAGAACTTGAGATCAGGGGCCATTTCCAATTCACCTCTGGGTCCTTAGAACCCAGCACAAAACCTAAAACAGATCAGGGGTTTAAGGTAGATGTGAACAGATTGAAAAATATTTTGTTCTTGGGAATTCTGGTAAACTACTAGATGGAAGTGCTGAAGGAAAAAATCCAGAATCTTTGGTATGTCTGCAGGAAAAGTTGTTTGCCCCATATATTCCATCAGACCCTCTGGGCCAAGCCTCTTGAGAGAACATTGTTAATTCTAGTGACTATGACCTGGAGTGTGTGTGCATGAGCCTGCTAGTGCGGGAGATCCCTCTCCCTCACAACTAGGACGCTCTTAAGAGGGAAATGGGCTCCTTTCATTTTAGCCTGGAGAGGGCTGGAGAGGCCCAGCCTTCCCGCCGGGCTCTGCTAGAGATGGGCCAGGTGCCAAGTGTGCTCACGTGTGTGCACTTGAACTCCAGCGCCTTTTCTTCGGAGATCACACCACCAGGCGCATAGTTCTCCTCTCCTCTAATGCAATTTATATGTCTGAACATGAACAGAGGATTTGTGAGCCTTCAAGTCTGGGGCTTTGGAAATTACCTCAGCAGGCCAGGGCTGCTGGATAGAGACCTAGGGTTTTAGGAGACTTTGGAGGAATTATTTTCAAAGGTGCTGAGGCTCCTCCTGGTGGGAGGAAGAGCCATCCCCATCCCACATCCTCCCCCAGACCCTTCTTAGGGTCCCCTTTAAAACAAACCCAATAAGACCTGGTTTAACAATGAACACGAGGGAGCTACACAATGTGTTAGAACAAAGGCTCATTAAACAGGTCAGCTGCCTTGGAGGTGAGGGGGAAATGGGAGCAGGTCGAACTTGGGCTCCCATCCAGAATTGGGCACTCGCCGGCTGGAAGTGTCAGTCCAGTTTTAAATCTTAGCTTCAGCTCCTACCTGATGAAGTTGAGAGGGATAAATAATGTACACCAGGAGGTAGTGTCTCATATTGAAAAAGACACGGGCTTTTGTATCCAAAAGATCTTTGTGGTCTCAGGCAAGCTATTCAACCTCTCTGAGCCTCCTTTCTGTCATATATAAATTTGGAAATAATAAAGGCTACCCTGCAGGATTGTTTTGAGGAACTAAATGAGATAGTAAGTAGGAAGTGCCCAAGGTAGCGCTGGTACCCAGTAAGGGCTCAGTGAGCACCAGCTGCTTTCTTTGTCCTTAGCATGTCAGTCACTCTCTCCTGCTCATTGCAAGGGCCTCAGCTACCACCTCTGTCTTAAGGGCTCCTCACATCCCATTTCAACCCCCATCATCTCTCTTGACTGACATTCAAGAGTCTGCTGATTTCCTCCCCACTTGCAGCGATCTTATTACCTTCCATGCCTGCCTAGAAAAGGCCCTTTCTGAACCGTTTTGACCATGTCTTTTTCCTGCTTAAAAAACCTCTTACAACTCCCCTTTGCCTACACAATAAAACCTCCCTACAGCCTTCCACCTTTCCAGTCTTACTTTCTCT